CGGTTGTTGATCACGTGACTCCAGTGATGTGAAAAAAGTGTTTCCATTGCAGTTTTGTGAAAAACACAAATTTCGATACGGCTGAAAAACCACCTCATCCTAGCACAAAAACATTTTGTCGAAAAACGTAATTTTTTTCCGAAATTGACGTGTTTCCATTGAGCAAATTTATTTTCAAAATTCTAATTTGCGCATTTTCATGGTCAATGGAAACACAGCTACAGATAAGTTTCTCCACTAAAATGATTGTGTAATTTAAAAGCATTGAAACACCTGGTTAAATTCATTMACTACAAGCACCTGAAGCTGACTCAGAGAACTCTGATTTTAGAAGAAAATCAGTTAAACGTAGACACGTCTTTGTTAGAATTTGGGGCATAAAATAAAAACACAGTATTTTAAAACACAATGTTTATTCCTCTTCCTCCACTAAGCACAGCTGCGGTCTGCTTGCACCTTTAATCGAGGTTTTTTTTCTTGGTTGTCCACTGGACAAGCGGTCAGCTGAAACTACAACAGTTTGTCTTGGRCAACCCAAACAATGGTTGTGTCGACCCCAGAGTTTCATTTTTATCTACCTGACCTGTAAAACCAGCCTGTGAGGGGTTCAGAYAAATAAAAGCGTACAGAACCTCTGCCCCGGCTCACCGTCTTCGTTCAGGAAGAGCTTATTGAAGCGGAGGCCGCTCGGCTCCTTCCCGATGAAGCTGTGCACGTACTCCGTGCCGTGGTCGTGGACCGCCACGGCGTACTTCAGGGGCTTGACGCAGGACTGCAGGCAGAAGGGGACCTTGGTGTCGCCCACCGTGTGCCTGCGACAGGAAGCAGGGATTAACAGATTAAACTCAGGGCTTAAACCATAAACAGGAGAGTTCGTTTCAAAAATCAAAACACAACCGTGTTATCTTTATGACACAGACATGGCCTTTTACAGCAACCAATCAGATCGCAGGTCCACAAACACACCTTCACAGGTTCTTACAACAGTTCTGATAACCATCTTTCCACACAGGTTTGCTCTTTTCTAGGAAAACCGTGTCCTGAACACACCGGTTTAATAATAAACAACCGCCCCCCGGCTCACCTCTGTCCATCCACCGTGCACAGAGACACGGCCCACAGGTCCGGGCTGAACTTGGCCAGCTGAGGAATGTAGTCCGCCACCTGGAGGGGAGGGGGGTGGGAGAGCATCACACCACCGACCAAACAAACAAGGCCGACGTGTACGGGATTAATCTTGTGCCAGCAGGAAGTGAATTTGAATTGCTCAGATTGAATCTGAACGTTCATAATCTGAAATTGAATGCATTGGTTTGAAACTGAATTTAAAGTTTTGTATCTGAATTAATTTGCTTTGTTAAAAATTCAGTTTGACTACTTTCACTTTCAGTTCCATAATTCAGATTTTTGTGTCACATCCTGGTCCTTGAGAA